ACTTTGAATTTGCCTAAGAAAAAGTCCTGAAAATCTTGATTTTCTTACAGAATCCTCGTCGCCAGTGTCGTGTTTCGGGCTCGCTTTAATTGTGTCTTGTCTAAGTACATATGAATATGCATGAACCTATTCCCCCTAATTAACATACATCACATCTTTCATAAACTTTTACGTAAGTTCGTAAAAAGATAACGCTCCATAAGCATGAATATTAATGATAAAAGGTATGTTTTGTTTTTATTACTTCATCATCCTAAAATTATTCTGTTTTTACTCAAAAATGGTATCATATAATTTTTAAACTTGTCCTTACTGTAAACAAAAATTTGGCCTATAACGGTCTGATAAAGGGTTTTCATAGTTTAGGTCTGGATTTCGAGGCTTAAAGACGTTTTACCTTGCACTATTGATTAAAAACAAAATAAATGAACGTATTTGACTTCATTTACATTAAATATTGATACTATAGTATAATAGGTAATTCACGTTAAGAATTCAGATAACTTCATTTTTAAATAAGATGTCGATTGAGATGAAAGAGTATCCTACCATTAGATAACATCGAGAAATATCCAGAGGAAAAGAAATTCACTAGAAAGAATGGAGAAGATTTTTCTTTTAGTTTTTATTCACATGCTTGGGTTTTCGCACCAACTTCCACCTTATGTTGATCCAGACCGTTTATCAAAGTCGGCCAAGTTTGTTCCTGATCTTGACCATAAGTTACAAGTCACCCCTTTGAAGACTTACAACGTAAAAGATATATTTGAATGTACACTAGAATGCCTTGGACAAGATGGGTGCCTTTCGATAAACTTCGCAAAGAATACAGTTGGAGGACTAAAGTTATGTCAGCTACTTCCTATCGACAAGAAAGATTCTATTGCAGACTTGGTAGCGAGTGCTGATTTCCATTATTATGACAGCGGATTGGTAAGAAAATATCGTACTTCAATCCATAGCCATTATTACGTAGATTTATTAACTCTATATGATGAGATTTTTTGCAGCTATATATACAAAAGCTTTGAAGTTTTTACGGGAAATGGAAAAAAAATGATCTACTTTTTTTCATTACTCAATTTTTGTGCGATGAATATCAGTGAAATTATTCGGTATTTTTTAAATCAACTTTTTCCCTCTTTGTTTATCTTTTATAAATTCAAAGGTTATCGAGTCAGGAAACAACCATTGGGCTTGTTTAAGTCAAGGCAAGGATAACTCACAACTAATTCAAGAAATGAGGGATCAAACGGGTTAGGTTTTTTGAGGGGAAAACCAGAGAAATCGGAGCTGAAAACCCTTGATTCACATATGAATTTATGTTTATTAATCGCTTTCCCGCTAAGCTAATACCTAGGCTCTTTATTTCAGGGTTTACCAAAACATTGCGCCGATGCCAAGAAACGCGACCCTTCTGTCAAAAGTGGAAACTATCGGATTAGGCTTCCAAACAGAGAGATTGAAGTTTACTGCGACATGGAAAACTTTGGTAAGTCACAATGTCAAATATTGGTAGCGTGTATAACTTAGCTTGTTGTGAGTGAAAAAATAACAAAAGTAACTAAGACAAATCGTTTGTTTGACTCAACCAACATTGAGACCATCACGTCACATACAAACTTTATCTAGAAATGTCTTGACTAAGATTTTTGTTCACTTTAAAATTTCAAAACATACATAATAATAATAATAATAATAATAATAATAATAATAAT